CTGGGGTCTGAACCTGGCCCTGTAGTCCCACCTTTCCTGTATGCCAGTTGGACAAGTCCTAAAACCTCTGGATCCTCAGAGTTCAGGATTTGTAAATTGGGGCTTCTGGTCTCCCTTTGTAGGGAAGTTCACCCCTTGTGCTCCCAGTCGGGCTGTTGTGAGAAATAAACCAGATATAAAGCACTTGGAAAGGTTCTCTAAGAATGATAAAGCGCTCCCAGGCAGCACACAACAGGCTGAGGTCGCCAGTGCAGGCAGCCCAGGGCACCCAGGGCTGAAGCGGTACCCAAGGCAGGGTAGGCAGGCGTGGTCAGCTGGAGACAGCACATGTAGGGGGCCTGCCCTGTCTGTCTGGCTTCCCTTCAGCTCCCTCCCTGGGTGACTGGCCTGGGGGAAGCGCATTTGGACACCAGCCTGGCCGAACTCCAGCCCGGGTGGGAGGAGGGGGCTCCCAAGGCCTCTCCCCACCATCACGTCATCTGTGAGCAAGTCTAGGCGTGACCTACCACACCCCCTTTCAAGTTGGGGAAACTGAGGCCCAGAGAAACTCAGGCCCACGAGAATGTCCCAGAGTCCTGAGCAAGTTAGTGACAGAACTGGGTTGGAGTCCAGGTCCTGGATTAGGTATCCACAGCTGTGACAATTTACTGGGGGTCAACCATATATCAGGTACCTTGAGCTACAGATCATTCCATCAACTTTATAGAAGAGGCTGAAGATCAGAGTTGCAGTCATATGTGACAGAGGCAGGACTGGACGGGCAGCCTGGGGACCAGACTGCTCAGACCGGCCTAGAGGAAGGTCCAGGGCGAGTGAGGGAAACCCCCAGCCCCTGGGCTATGTCAGGGTCCAGACAGACCTCGATGGAGGCTGTGGGCAGATCCGAGGGCAGAGCTGGGGACAGGAAGCCAGACTGTCCTTGAGGCCCCATGTTGGGTTCCCTCCTCCTGGGAGTCCCTACCGACCCCCCACTCCTGCTGACTTCTGCCTCCCCTGAACGCCTCTGGCCTTCCTCCTCTGCCAGGGTGACTGTCGGAGCCTGGCACAGTGCACACGGCATGCTGGCTGTGGACCGGTCACTCCTGAGGACCTGTGGCCGTGTGGAGCCTGGCCCACTGTGGATGTGGTACCAGAAGCCCTCCGCGGCCTGGCCCTTGTCTACACCTCTGCCCTGCATTCTGCTCCTAACCCTTCCAGAAAGGCCCCATTCTCTATATTTTATTTCTGATCAAAACAGAAAAGTTGGAGAAAAGTAGTCCCATAAAGTAAAAAAAAGTCACCTATCATCTTATCAGCAAGACTGGCGTTTGTGCGTATTTCCTGTCCTTCTTCTCCTTTCTTCCATTATTTTGTACCCCCAAACTCTTGCATAACCCTCTTGAATACTTGTTAGACACGCGCTGAATGTGGACATCATTTTCCCACCCATCCCATCTGGGCAACGTGATTGGGCCTCCTGGACAGCCTGGACTTTAAAAGCCCTTGCATGGGCTGGTCCCTGGGCTGGGCCGCCCTCTCTTGCTTATCCCTGTGGTGAGGTTGCAGGTGCCTCTGAGGCAACCCGAGCTGCATCTGTGGCTCTCTCTCCCGCCTCAGCTGTCCTTCAGGGTGCCCCGAGCGCCCGCTGTCCTCCCGCCTCTCTCAGGCAGATGGCCTCCTCCTCCTCCACCGCCGCCTCTACCCCGGCCTCCAGCACGTAGTAGGCGCCTGGGAAATGCCTCCCAGCGAGCGAGCGAGCCATCCCCTGGCTGCCTGAGCAGTGTGGGTCTGTGTGGTGTTTCCATTAGTCTCCATGAACGAGTGCCACTGTGTTATTAAATTTTTCCAAAAGCAGAATGTCTGCTGTGTTTGCCAGATCGGTTGCTCTTTTAGGAGCGGGTCTGTCCTGCATGCCTCATTCCCTCGTCTTTTGGAGCCAGCCGCTGGATATCTACGGGGCCCATGGATGCAGCAGTGGACTCTGGGGAGCCTGACCGCTGGGGTGCAGCCTGGAGCAGGGGAGGTGTGGGGACCCTCAGCATTCACTGCCTGGGGCTGGAAGGTGCAGATAAGAGCAGGCCCCTGGGTGTGTGGGGGGTCATGCTTTGGTCCAATGGACTCGGAGCACCAGGCATACAGCAGGTGCTTACCAAATGTGTATCCAGAGGTGGCAAGAGACGGCGCCTGGGAGCTGAGAGGAGTTCTGCTAGAACCGAGATGGAGATAAAGCTAGTCTTGGAGGACAGGAGTACAGGAACTTCTCTGCTGTCATCCCAGGGACCAGGAGAGCAACTGTGTCTTTTGGGATGTCAAAGCCGGGGTCCAGCCTGGCTTTGTCCTGGGCAGGCACCAGGGGACACCAAGCCCAGTCTCCTGCATCCTGCAGCCTCAGAGGGAAAGGTGCCCCAGGGAGAGTCTGGGGCGCCCTGCCGAGCATGGGGCTGGAAAGCGAGGTCCAAAGACAAGGAGACAGAAGCCTCTGCCCGCTCCACAGCCCGAGGTGCTCCCTTCCTCAAGATGCTGGAGCAAGCTCTGAAAAGATAAACCTGATCAGGTCAAGTCCCTGCTCAAAATCTTCCATGGCCCCCACGCCCCATCAATCCTGTTTGCCCCTTAGGCCGGCAGCCAAGCTCCCGAACGTCTCCCTTGTCTCTGATGGGACAGAACTCCCTTCCCCAAAGGCGTGCGCACTTGCACCTGTGACTCCGTCTGCCTGGGCGCCTTCCACCCTGCTCTAGGGCACACTCCTGCCGCGGGGGTGTCCACCTCCGAGAGGCCCCCCTTCCCGTCTGCATCCCTGGCTTCATCTGCCTCCCTCAGCAGGCTGGTCTCTCCGAACTGGGGACCATGTAAGGAACCCCGGTGGGGTTTGTGAGTGGGTTGGGGAAGGGAACCCACCATCGTTTGCTGAGGGGCCCGAGCTGGGCCTCTGATGGCTACAGACCCTTCCGGCCTCTCTATCCAGGAGGTCCAGGCCAAGGCGACCTGCCACCCCAGGCCCTGGAGACACTCCTCCTCCCCCGCGCCAGGACTAGAGGGCCGCAGAGCCTCTCAGACTCCCCAGGGTGGCACCACTGGGCTCAGAGCACCGCTCTCCCCCTGAGACGGGGCCTCCATCTACCCAGGCGCTGGGCTCTCCCAGCTCCTGCCTTGCTTACCTGGCCCACTCTGAGTGAGGCAGCCACCGGCCACCCACTGGGCAGGGCATGGGGCCCCCAGGGGCAGAGCTGGGGCGTCAGGAGGGGCACCTCGGCTTGCTCACGCTGGGATCTGGGGGACAGCAGGGCCAGTCCCGGGGCCCGAGCTGCAAGGGCGGCCCAGGGTGCCCCAGTGGCTCAGGGAGGGGGACGCGGCGCCCCGGAAGGAGCCGCGCGCGCCCCTGCACACGGAGCCCGGGCGGCGGCCGCGGATCTGGAGGTGAGAGCGCCCCCGCCCG